AATTCGCACCCTGGATACAGACATCCATGTCACAGAGATCTCTCTAACCTGCATTGGTATCCACCGCCTGCGGTCTGGCCCCGACAGCTACTGCAGGCTGGAGCTGAACTTGGGGCCCCCGGCAGAGTGGATGAGGTGACCTCAGGAACCTGAGGCTCTGCTCCCACTGGCTTATGGATGCAGCATTGTCCAGAGAACTCCCTGCAAATCTTCTCTACTGCCTCTCTAACCACTTGATCCTTAAACTGTGGCAGTTATCATATTTTGAAGAGAAAAAATTGAGACACAAACGTTTCCAATATTAGGGTTTGTCTCCACTGCTAAAACTATCAGAATGAAACTTAGGATAGTTCACCCAAAAATAAAAATTCTGTCATTATATACTCACCCACATGTTGCTCCAAACATGTAAGAGTTTCTGGTCCCCACTGACTTCCACAGTATTTTTTTTCATACTATGGAAGTCAATGGGGACCAGAAACTGTTTGGTTATCCACATTCTTCAAAATATCTTCTTTAATGTTCAAAAGAAAATACATGTACATGTTCCATACATGTTTGGAACAACTTGAGGATGAGCAAATGATGACAGAATTTTCATTTTTGGGCGAACTACCCTAAGTTTCATTTTTCGGGTGAAGTATCAATTTAAACACTATGGCACAGTACAACATTTGTCAACTCTTAAAATTGCAATGAAATGAAAGTAGCAACAGATCTTTTCTTTCATATTGAAATGTACATCCGAGTGAAACGATTATAAAAAATGTGGGACGGGGATGTGGTTCTATGCATCGGCTGTTGATTGGATGGAGGCAGATCTGAATACGAGCTTGCAGTCGACTGTAAGTTGTATGCAGACAAAATGATTGAAGATGTCCAGCATATAACACCAGACAGAAGTCTGCCATTGCACTAGAAGATCAATCTACGATTTGTTAATAAAAATTGTGAGGTCAAAGCAAATATTTAAAAATTAAATATCTGCACAATCCTTCAGAAATCATTCTAGTATGCTGATTTGGTGCTCAAATATTAATAATGGTTTGTCCGCAATAAGATCAATAACATGCTTTAAGAAAACAGATAGGGAGGATTTTCATTTCATGCTGATTTTAATGTCTTGTTTCTCATACCTTTTCCATGTATGAAGTGAACCAAGCTGGAGGGGTCTTATCCTCTGCCTTCCCACCTTTGACTTCATTTACAATTACCTTTAAAACAAAAGCAGGATATTAAAATAGAATATGTGACACACCAGTCATTAACTTGCAATGGTGGAAATTATAATAATCATCAATCTGGAAATCTTTATCAAATGTATATCACATTTCATGCAAATTACAATAAAACTGTATTCAGAATTCAATTACATTATTTGGTTTTAACATCAGAACATTAATGTTTTATCATTTAGATTAATTATAATATTATAATTAATGCACCATTCCAAATAAATTGCAGCCTATAATTTGATACAACAATAGTGAACAACTGTGGCTACTTCTGTGACTGTGCAAAACCATTGGGTTATAAAATCTTACCAATCCTTCCTCTGGAACTGCAGCCTGAACTTTGCGACTCACCACTTGTGCCAAAGTAGGGCAGTGCTGAGGAGGCCTGAATCCCTTCTTGGGTTCTCCAACAGTACCAGGTTTCACCTGGCCCAAGCCCACCCCCGACCCTGGTGGTGGGCCCGGTCCTGGCACTGTGGCTCTACTGCCCCTCGTCTCATACACATTCATTTGTAGTCTGTTCCCCTGTCGTGCAGCACTCTACAATTACAAACAAAACCACAGTGCATTTGCTTTTGAACATTTGTTGATTGCAAAACAATGGATTTAATACACGGTAGCCACTCTATTCACTCTAAATGAGTGGTACTCAACCTTTTTAGTCCAATGCTCTCCTTCGTCTAAAGGAATATTTGAAGGGCCTCCTATCTAAGCGGACATGCACCTCTGGTACTTCTTTTGTAGTCACAATAAATAAACGCAAAAATATGATGTCGGTTTAATGTTGTACATCTTTATATATATATTTGAATTTAAATCATTTTCATTCTTATTGGGCTCCTCTCAAAGGTTCTGATGCCCCCTGGTTGAGAACCGCTGCTCTAATTGAGTGATAGCAGTAAACAGTGAGTTAGCAACAATTCTTTACCTTCAGGGCTTCTTCATATTCCACTGAAAAAAGAAAAACGACTCCAATCAATGTTATGACATATTCTCGCTGAGTTTAAATATATTCCATTTATTTTATTATATACAGATTGAGACATTTTACTTACATTGGCTGTTGATTGATACCTGAAACAAACAGTTACATACACAATTAGCATGGAATTATTAACTAATAGTATTAACAATTTTGTATTATGTACGTCTCATGTTTTTGTTGGGGAAAAAGCAGTTATTAAGAATGCCATGCCATTACTTCTTCACCCTCACCTCTTCATTCTCCTCATCGAAATATGTCAGTTGTAAATTACACAGGCCAAAAGACCTTTTCACCTGAAGAAAGGAAGATATAAAAAGTTAACACAACAACTTTGTGACGACTAACTAGTTTGATGAGATATACTTGATTCTGATTGGCCAGTGTCGACAAATATTTTGAATAACGGCCGTTACCCAGAGAAGGGTATAACTGCAGCCTGGAGATCTCCAAATGGGGGCGGGAACTCCAAATCGGGGTGGGAGCTCCAAAATATGGCATGGTTTCCTCCAATTGACATACAGGCACATGACACGCATGCGCAATTTTTTCCCCCAATCCACTTCAGTGCAAACTCCGCCCCACAGCTGATTCTAAAAATGTTATTGGTTGTGGCAATTAAAGTGTTGATTTCCTACACAAAAAATGCTACAAAAAATGCTAACCCCTAAACCTACCCCACACCTGACCCTAACCTTAACCAGTGAAATTGACTGCACGGCGGGATTGGCGCTGAATAGCGTGGTAAAGAAAGTTGCAGTTCAGGAGATAAGATTATGCGATATGAGACTGTTCCGTAACTCCCCATCCGGACCTCACCAGACAATGGCACATTTTTAGTTACACCCAGCGTCACTACCCCCTCCTACCCTGCGAATTTCAAGCCCCGGGACGCCTCCGTTGCTTAGAACAAAGCGATAAGAGTAAAATCTTTCCCCTGCGCTACGCTGACGGCTCGCGGGAGAGCTCATGGGTGATTCCCGTTTATTAAGCAGAGGTTCAAACTCCGGTCCGAACACCACTGGCCACGAGCTTTGGTCTCTGCTCTCACGGAGAATATTTATTTAAGTATTGTTGCTGCCGCCATGATGTGAAGGCGCTGTGTGTTTCGTTGTGAAAGCGAAACTAACAAAATTATAAACGCAACACTTTTGTTTTTGCCCCCATTTTTCATGAGCTGAACTCAAAGATCTAAGACTTTTTCTATGTACACAAAAGGCCTATTTCTCTCAAATATTGTTCACAAATCTGTCTACATCTGTGTTAGTGAGCACTTCTCCTTTGCCAAGACAATCCATCCACCTCACAGGTGTGGCACATCAAGATGCTGATTAGACAGCATGATAATTGCACAGGTGTGCCTTAGGCTGGCCATTCAGCTCATGAAAAATAGGGGCAAAAACAAAAGTGTTGCGTCTATCATTTTGTTCAGTGTACTTTGTTTGGCCTTCCAAAAGAGCACAATATCCGCTTCGTCATGCCTAGAGCTGATCCGTGCTGGTCCTAGAGGAAATACATCAACTTCGCGCTGTGGATCGCCGGATCGGCTTTCACCGTGGTCGAAGCGGAGTCCAGCCCGGGGTCGTCACATGTGGTTGCCGCAAGCCCGCCGGACGCTCCTTCGTCGAA